CAAATAAATTCTATAAATAAATTAATTTTTAAAAATACATTCCAATACAAAAAAAAATTAGCTCATCTCCATTCCACATGTGATCTTTGAGGGGAAAAAAGGCTTCTTAACACTTAGAATGACCATTTTCTTATTCAGTTCTTTAGAATTTTAATGAAAACTGAAAGCCTGGATAACAGTTGTGCCCAAAGATGTCCTACAGAAATACTTGAGTATTTATTTGAAAAATTCCTTCATTTTCTTCTTTCCACAAGTAGTAGTCCCAGTCTAAGCACAGCCACAGACCACTGAAGGTGATCCCAGACCACAGGTTAGGAGTAGCCAGAAAATTCAGGTGAGCCCAAGTTCTAGGAGACTCTTTAAAAACATGTCTTTAGATGAATAAAAGGTAATATTCCTTAAATAAGTTATGGGCTCAGCTTTATGTGACCCAGGCTGGTGTTTTGAGACACTTTGGGAGAACATACTTAGAACTTGGAAGAGAGCACAAAAGCCCAAAGAGGTTTGCAAATTTCTGGTTTGGGACCAAGCAGAATTAGTGTTTTCTTTCCTTTAACACCAAACAGTATTGTGTAAGAAAGAGGCAGACATCAGGAGGTTTTCTCAGCAGCAGTCGCAGACAGGAGCATTTTGTCTACTGACATCATCTCATGGTTGATGAGGTGTCACAAGATTCTAAGCTATTTGTGCCATTAGTTAATACATTTATGTTTCTAATGAAATAAACACAAGCAGGAATTTTTCCTTTTAGGCCCCAATTACTCCATTCCAGCGCTAGGTTTGCAGTCTGACTTCTCTCCTTTCCCTGCACACTCAGGAGCTCTGGTGGCTGCAGACTGTGAGTGCCCCCAAAGTGGACAGCTTGCTGTAGCATGACCAGCTCAGAGATGATTTGCCCAGAGAGCCTTCTTCCCAAAGTCAGCTGTAACATCTGTTCTTCAGATGCAATCCAAAATCCCTTGAAACCAGAGCTTTTTCACTGACTTCCACAAGTGCTAGAAAGATCCTCATTCTAAGCTGGATGTTACAGGAAAGAAGTTAATTTCTAGCATTATTGTATTCAGTGATGTACTTTCTTGGCCAAGGCCCAAAGTACTCATTATGAAGTGTAACACCCTGCTTAATTCTTCCAGAAGCCAATCATAAGGCTACTATGAATTTTAATGAGCACTGAATCAAGACCCAGATGGTTTTTTAAGCCAAATTATCCTGTTCTTGGTTATTTTAAGATCTGTGTAGTGCCTTCTGGCCACTACATGTTAACTCCTCTGTTCCTGGCCCAGATTAAGGGAAGACATTCACCTTTCTTCTCCCTCTCTAAGCACAGCTCTCCAGCTGTGCTGTGAAGACCCTCAGCTCCTTCTGTGCCTTGAAAAGTCACAGATTTAGAAGACTCAAATATTGACACAGGTGGGGTAAAAAGGTTCCAACAATACTTGTCAGGGAAGAAAGTAAAAAAACTGGAAGGCTGTCAGTAAGGGAACACTGACCCTACAGACAGTCAACTCTATTTAACCAATTCTCAGGGATAAACAATTGAGCTCAGAGCCATCAAATTGACATCAATTTGTGGGGTCACTGTCTCTGCTGAAGTTGCCGAGTACCATTTGCTTTCTAGTTTGCAATGTCATGTTTCATTTTAACTACACCATCTTGTCTATACATTCTCTCTATGCCATATCAGCAGGCCACCTGCTCCTAGCCAGGGGATGCTGGTGTATTGCCTCAGCTGCATCTACACTGAAAATGACACTGCTCAAAGCCAGTTTGGCTATATTGATTCTTCAGAGCAGGTTACAAATTACCTTCCACATCTACCACAAGCCACTATCACCTTACTCTGTCCTTTGACTAAACTTGGGGGTTCTGAGGGAGAGCTGAGGGTAGTTGGTCAGTTGTTTTCACATATGGGGTAAAAGGAGGAGGAAAGGAAGAAGACAAAAGGAAAAAGGTTCTACTGCCTGCTTTCCTGGTCCCCAATTATCCAAGGTCTTCTCTCACTGCAATAGCAGTTCTCATTCCAGTGTCCCAATGCCTCTGTTCTTCATTAAATCCCCTTTATATACTCATAGAATCACAAAATAGTTTGGGTTGGAAGAGACCTTAAAGATCATCTAGTTCCAGAGCCCTTCCATGGGCAGGGAACCTTCCAATAGATCAGGCTCCTCCAAGCCTAACCAGCTTCACTTGTATGGGTTTTTCTTTTTGTATTCTGGGATTATTTCCACCCCCCTCACCCCCCCCAACCTTGTCTGGTAAACAGATGGGTGTCACAGAAATGAAAAGCATGAAATGGAAGGAGTAACCAAAACTGAAATGCAGCATTATGCAAGGCAGCTATGGAGAAGAAACAATGTTATGTCACTGGCTGTTACTCAGTCAAGGGTGGTTAATGAGTTTACACTATTTAACCACATCCCCAGAATGGGCATCACAGTTTAAGGACTGCAGATAGAACTCTAAGATAATTGAAAATGAGGAGTGGGAGGGAAAGAAGGAAACAAAAGCTGGTTTAATGTTGTTTCTTGCCTTTAGATGTATGACACATGGCACAGTTGTCCTAAGTCTGAGTCTGAAATATTTATTTTTAATTTACTGTAAACACCCTGACTGAGCAGCAGGAGTGCAAGTGACACACAGAACTTGCCATCATTTGCTAAAACAGAGAGGGAACTCGGTCTCTGTGCTGGGATTGCCAAGTCCTGCAAGAACATCCAGCTCAGGAACTCAGACAGCTGCCCTTGGAAGTGGCCTGAGGAGTGTGTGCTTTAACCAGCATCTGTCCCTTTTCACTTGAACCACATTTGAACTTCTTAACAGTGAAAAATCATTCTGCCCTGTTCCTATTCCTCTGAGCAATTGCACACAGGCCCCTCTTATTACTACATTAGTGTAATTTTGTCTCCAACATTCCCCCTGAGAGGAATTACTCATGTCCTGCTATTATTTATTTTACTGCTAAGAACCTGGGTTTTAGGAGCAGTTTTAATTAAATACCAATGCTCCTCCTCCTCAATTAGGATCACCTTTATCTAGGTTGCTGTGCTTTGCATTCTCCAGCAGCAACACTTCTTTCCTCTTATTTATCCATCCTTTGACAGTTCTCTCTGGAACTCAAAAAAGTCCCCCTCTACCACCAAGTCATTGTCAGCCAAAATACAAGGTTTTACCAGATGTAAAGAACCATCCCATGGAAGATAACCTAATGTTTAACCTTGTTATGCAGAATTCCACCTGAAAATTATGTCAAATGGCAATGACAAAAGAAAGAGCTTCCATAGCCCCCCAAAGTCAGAGGCTGCTGTGCTGGCCTGTCCACCAGTCCACAGCATGTGGCTACTACTGTCCCTTCCCAGTTTCCCTGCTCCTCTGGGGCCTTGCTTGCACTTCTCTTGCTCCCCGCTACCCTCTCATGTTGTGATTTTCATTGGGAGTTTGAAGTGCAGCATGGCCACCCCTGGGTAAACACCTCTTCAAAGTATTTGCTGTCCCTGGATAATGACTCGGATCACAATGTATTCCAGACTTGGGTACACAGGATTCTTGGAAGCTGCCCTAGATTAATGATTTAAGAGTTATTCATTCATGCTCCCCAAGTGACAGAGGCAGAACTGATGACTCCTGACTGGGAAGTTGGCAGGAATATCCTCAACTATTTCTACAGAGTGGAATCAAGCTGCAGCAACTACATCCAAGTGCATGAGCTGATCCAGTGCCTGGCAGCGACAGCTGCGGACACAGCACAATGTTACACAACCACTGCTGGCACCGAGGCCCTCCTGGCCACCAGCCCCTGCCTCAACTTTGGGCACAGGTGCCCTTCCCCAGGCAACCTCACCCAGCCATTCTGCACCCTGCCCAGGGCACAACTTCCCTCCAGGCACTGTTTGGTTCCTGCCTTCCCTAGGGAAAAGAAGAGGCAACAAGGTATTTTGATTTCACTCTTCACAGATTTGACAAGGCTTTTTTCCAAAAGTTTACTGACTATAGTTATTTCCCTTACCAGAAGGTGGTTTTGCTTTATGAGCACATATTATTCCTTTACCAAGAGGAAAATGGAACTGCATTCAAGTATTAGCAGCATTAGTGTGCAAAGAGAAAGTGGGGATGCTCTGCGCTGCACTTCCGGGCTCAGCAAGTGCCTTCCCTCCACAGCTCCAGCAGCTCTGCCAAATCCATGCTCTGCTCTACTCCCATCAAGGACTGGCATTTATACCCATCTAAGCACACATTTCTCAGGCTGGAGGGCTCCCAGCTAGGAATAGTTTCAGTATAAGGAAGGGAGGCTGACATCAAACATTTTTTAGGTGTTGCTAGTTTTTTTTTAGAGCCATCTCTGTACATTCAAGGTATTTTTTCCCTACCTTGAACCGGCTTTTCCTGCATCTAGGACAAGCTCTCTACTACTTTCTGGCCTCTCAGCCAATAGTTTTTGACAGCCATAAACTGAGTGTTCAGGTGTCATATAAATTAAAAAAAAAATTAAAAAAAATCTTATCTCCAAACCATGCCAATTAAAAACCTTTAAGTCCAAATTCCCAAGGCAAGAACCATCTTCATTTTGCCTCCTACAGAACAACAAATAATCTAGCAATGTTGAAAAACACTAGATTAATAAACCATAACCTGATGTCTCTTTACTAAATTTTACTTTCATTCACCTACTGTTCTTTCAATACCCATCATTCTGCTACTTAAATATGTTTTAGAGGCACTATCTGTGCATTTATTCACCACTAGAACACAGGCAGTGTTAAAAACACCACCGGCACAAGACAGTGTTAAAAACATTATCCCTCACCCATTTTTATGGCTTCAGACATCAGAAAATTAGCTCTTATTGGTTGATTTTTCAGCCTAAAAAGGGAGTATCAGAGACATAATACATTTATGAGTTCTACAGACTGGGAAGGTAACAAAAAAGCAGAAGTCATTTTAGTTTCAGTGTTCAGAATGCTGAACCCTGTTGCCCCATCTACCTCCCATAAAAGCAGGCTTACCTTGAAAAAAGATCCCAGAGAAATACTTCTGGAGTAAATTCAGTCCCTTCTTCCTTCTGACTGCAGGTTGCTGCTTGTCTTAAATACGGGAAACATCCCTTGCTTCAGGCAAAAATTCTCAGCAATTTAGTCTTAAAGCTTCTGCAGAAAACTCCTCATGCACATGCAAACCCCCCGGCTCCAGCTGCTTCCTCAGCAGCACTGGCCCGTGCCAGGTGCTGGGCAGTGATCCCAGTGCTCCCACCCCTGTTCCCGGCAGGCAGTACAGGTGGTAGCACAACTCAGGGAAGGTAAAACAGCCTCACAAACAGCAATTCCATTGAAACCTTGCAGTTCCGGCTGAGGAGATCTCATTGCAGACATATAGCCCTGTCAGGATGCTGGGATGCAGTGAGTCAATGTTTTCTGGGACCTTTTTTTATCGTGGGCTGATGCTGTGAGCTCAGCAAAGAGGATGGCACAGTGCCTTGAGTGGCATTTTGCACAAAAGGCAAGAGCAAGATACTAATCAAGATTCTGGTGTGTAGAGACTCCATGCATTTTCCCCTCAACCAAGCCTAGAAATCACAGGCTTAGCAGCACACTGGGGTGGGGAGAGAGCTACAGACACAACGGAGCCTTATGCTTTGAGAATCTGTGATTAAAGATTCTCATGCCCTGTAAACTGCAGGCCACAAGTAGCAAATAAAGTATCATTCCATCATAGACTTCCTTCTCTATGTGGGGAGCATTCCCATGTCCTTTTGTGGATGTCAGGACTCTGGGCATTGTGCTGGTCTTGAATAACTTGCCTGGATCCCATGTCATGCAATTTCAAAAACTGCAAAAGCTAATACAAAGTTGACACTTTTGCAGGCTGGGTTTCAGCAACAGTTCACCTGGCACCCTGAGAAGGAAGGTAAACTGTTCTATGGCTTCAGACTTCACAGGGATGTAAATGAGGACAGATTTATTAAGCTAATTGAAACAGTTCATACTGGCTTAAACTCTGCAGCTGTAACTATTATATTTCTGATCCTTTAGTCCTAAATGCAACCCAGCAGAATCCAATGCTTTAATCAAGACAGCAAGTGCCATGGCTTCTCCCCACTGCAGTGGTTTAGAAATCAACACCAGCAAGGCTGCCAGGGAGGCAATTAGGTATTTTCCATAGGTATCCTGATAAAGAAGCCAGTTATTTACAGCTTCCTGGCACGTCAGTTACTTCAGTATTTCCTACACAACACTCAGAAAAGAGAAGCACTTTTTTTTTCCCTCACAGATATAAGTGTTCCATTCAAGAGCCAATTCATTTTTTTTGTTCTTGGAGTTGGCTTCTATTTCCTCACCTGGATAACCACAAGCACATTTTTGTGAACATTAGGTAACAAGAAAGCCTGCTGCTAATTCTTCCTCATCAGAGCCTGGGGAAAAATCTGAGCTGTTGGGTGAAAGCTAAAAAAACAAACAGAATAGATGGGAGGGGGAAGAGGAGTGAGAAATAATTCAGGAGTGAGTCAGTCATGCTCCTCCTGCTTAGTCACCTGTAGTTCTGCTCTCCAGACACACTGAAGATTGGGAATAAGATTCCTGCCTGCCTTCCACCTACCTCCTCCTGACAAGGACTTGGAAAAAGAGATAGGGCAGAGTTTGGGGAACCAGACACTAGAGATGCTTGTTTTCCAGTGTCAGAGAACTGCCAGTAGCCTCTTTTTTTTTTTTTTTTTTTTGTTTTGTTTTGTTTTTTGTTTCCCACCTCCTCCAATTGCCCCTGCACTATTTTGCAGTTAAATCATCTTGATTCAACCTGTTCATCTGCTGGTCTGAGTTCCTCTGATGGTGCCCTGCAGTTTTGACATCGTAGGGGGTTGCCATGGAGAAGAGGGTGATGTCATTGACACAAAAAGCACCGAACTTACAAATACAACAGGAACCGAGCTATTTATAAGAGCTGCTTCTCTTCCCCCACTCTTTGCTGAGGTGGGTGGAAGCAAAGACAGCAGCTCCATTCTTGATGTTTCTGTCAACAAGTTTCAGAAATGAATTTTCTTGTCAGAAAATATCCCAAACCTGTGAGATTACTGAATGCTGTCAGCTTTCGGACTTCATTCATTAGAGCAAGATTTAGCTTTCCCAGCTCCTCACTGGGTTTGAGGTTAAATAACACTCATGTTTGTAGAGTAATTTCTACCCTGAAAATCTCTGCAGCATTACTGAGATACAACCACTTCTGGAAGGGAGGACATGTCACAAAAAGAGACCCTGGTTTATGTAAAGGCTTCATAGTCCTTATAACCACTCAGTAATAACTCCTGGAATCACAGAACAGCCTGGCCTGGAAGGGCTCCCTGAGGATCCTGTGACTGTTGGTTTGGTCTTGGCTGTGTGGGGTCTGCACATCAACACAATTCTTACAGAACGAATGTTTAGCGCATGTAAAAATTGCAAAACACAGAGGAGAAAAAAGGAAGACTAAGAACTTAGAGAGGAACGAAAATAATAATTTTACAATGCACTTGGAATAAGCCAGTTCAGTTCCCATACAGGTAAAGTACTAATCCAGGTTGGTTCTTTAGGAGTAGATGCAGACATGGCAGAACAGTCCAGTGCCTTTACTGCATATCAAGGAAACATACAAAAAAATTCTGAATTCTGCAACATTCCAACTTTTTTTTTCTACAAAATGATTCTCAAGTGAATGATAATATAAAGTATCACACTACAAAGTACATTACTAGTTTAGCTTCAAGGAAACACACAACCCAAGATACTGAAAAATCAAGAGAATCCAAAGCATTGGGGAAAAAAATCCTTCAGCTCAGGCCTAGGAAATGAATACTAACATTTGTCTTCTGTCAGCATTGTGTCACCCAGCTACTGTTCCTGGTTGGTAAATCACACTTCCATACCACAAGGTAAATAATTCAATAGCTTTGGATCATAGTTATGACAAAAAGAAAGTAAGGAACAAACATTTCTAGAACCAACAAAAAGAACAACAATCTTCCTCAGTCTTTACTGAATGACCTTGATATTCATGTTGTTCAATAATTTAAACTATTATGGAAATGAAACCTTCATATTTCTAAGCTTCCAAATAGCATCCAGCTTCTGCTGGATTAACTGAGCAGAGGGGCAAAAAGTGTGAAATAGTAAGAACCAAAAAAATGAAACTGTTAAAGGAATTTAGTGCTCCTTGTCAAGCTTTAAGTGATCTTTATAAACACAGGCACATCCATGTGACTGCAGTGCCCATAGCCCAAGGCTAAAGGAAAGACTCCAACCAACAAATCCCCAGCCCACAGGCAAATAGCTCACTTCAAATAAGAACTCAGCTTTTGTACATCGAGGCATCCTTGGGGAAATCACAGGGGCACAGCACCTCAGGTGCTGCACTTTAGCCCAAAGGCATTTTTGGAATATTATTTGGGAAAGCAGCAGCAGAACAGAAGAAAGATGCAGAATTACTTGCTGATACTCATGCAGTAGGGGTGATGTGTCTTCTTTAAATAATAGAATCATTAAGGTTGGAAAAGATCTCCAAGAGCCCACCCACCACCACCAAGTTCACCACTAAACCAGGTTATCCCCAAGTGCCACCTCTATATACTATTTAAATCCTGCCAGGGACACTGACTCAAGTACTCTTTACTAAAGAGTGCCTTAAAGTCCCATAAGGATGCAGATTCTTCTCAGCCCTTTTTGTTGCTCATTTATTTATAGAAACATTTTTATACTTTCACAGCAGTACCCGAATTAAGTTTTAGATGGGCTTTGGCCCTTTTAATTTTGTCCCTGCATAACCTCACAACATCCTTGGAGCTCTCCTGAATTGCCTGTCCCTTCTAGTTTACTCTGGAAAACCCAAAAATCCTAGTTTATTCTGTGAAATCATTTTATCTGCTGGCACAAGCTCAGGCTCACACTTCTGATAATGTACCAGTTATCAGGTGTATCTTTCTGTTCTGAGGTTTGCTTGATCTTTTTATTGAATACAAACCCCAGGCTGCAAAAGTCTCAGATTCATATATTCTGAGTGCACTTATCTGATAAATTTTAGGAGATTTCCCAATTATCTCAGAGTAGGATTTTAAATCTACAAATCACATACCTTTGAAGACCAGCAGATGATCAGTACTCCTCACCTTTCCTCAAGCTTCCTTAAAATGATGTCTTCAGATGTGAAGTGAGCAAAAAAAGTGACTTTCAGAGATCACAAGGATTTGTAAATGCTTGCAGGTGTACCTTAAAAAGCAATTAGGTTCTGTGACATCATTGGTCACTCCAGAGCCACTCAGGAGGTAACGTGGACCACCTGTATTTCACAGGTGTAAGCAATGATCTTCGTGAGCCCTTAGAAACAGTGGAACAAACTCCAGCTGCAGCTCCCAGAGCTTAAGGAGAAGAAAATGGCTCACACCTGTGGGGTTTGTCCCAGCCACAGCTCAAGCACATTAAATCAGCCCCCATTTTTTACCTTTAGCATTTTTGGCTGCTCAGTGATTTCCTGCAAATATTTTTAGACCCCTTTTTGCTTAACAGAGTGGACGTGAATAATTTGATCTTTTCAGTTTCTGAATCAAAGCAGCTGAAGCCTGCAGATATCTTCCAGACATCCCTCTTGTACCTTTGGTCAAGTTTTGTTCTTAAGCAACTTGGTACAACCATGACCCATCACATTCCTATTTTCCTTTTGTGCACTTTTATTTATATAATAGGCATTAAAATTTTCCATAGCCCAGATTCCATCACTCTATTTTTTAATAATAACTTCACTAGAACTTCTAAATCTGGCTGTCACACAATTTCATTTTACCCTCTACTTGGTGTGGAACATTTTGTCATGTCAGGATTTATAAATGCCTCTTTTCCCTCAGAAAATATTAAGACAGTTTTCGTCTCCAAATATCCTGTGGGCAAGGCTGATGTGCCTCCTACTTCATGATGAGTCTGTGGCAATCCCAGCCCTGCAAGGTCACAGAGCACCTGTGTGTTACAGAATGATTCACAAAAGTGGTGCTCAGGAAAAGCTTGTGTAAGGTTGGAGGCAGTCACTTGAACAGACAACAGGGATGTCCAAAGAGCTCCCTGAGTTCCTGTTACATGTCAGTGCAATCAGCTCATGGCATAGGGGAGGCAGAGACTGACCTGTGCAGCAGAGAGGCAGAGTTCATCGAAGCAGAAGTGGGAACAAACATCTGAAGCGATGACTGCTTGTTCTTCTTATACCTGCTTGCTTCTCTTCATTATTTGTGTGTGTTCATTATGGAGAAATTTATAATGTCATTGCTGTCACTGTTTTTACACTACTGGGGGGCAGTTTTGTGTTGTCTGGGATGTACATGAAGAGTGACTGATCATGGGCAGCCATATAAGACAGAGAAGGATTAGCACACTTTTTGTTTAGAAAGAAAAGAGATGCCAAGTCAACAAAAAAGTAATAGTGGAGTATTGCAGCTTTGATTTAGCTCTCATTTAAGTAAAGACAAATAGGTTCACTTACATATTTTAAAGACCTGAAGAACAGATTTCCTCTACTGAACTTCTGCTGAGAGCTCTTATCTCTGTTCAGCCTGTTCTCAAAAGCTTTTTGTGCGCGTTAGACACAGTGAAGTTGTTCTGTAGTGGCTATAAACACGCCTTGTCTGAGAAGTCCTTGGGATGACTGATCCTTTGTTAGGAGCCTTCTCTTCCTAATCTACCTGGTACTCAGCTCAGTGCTGCAGGATATAAACTGGAAAAGTTGCAATTGAGAGGACAGCAAGTGAAATTCCCCAGATTTTGTCTAAAAGGCAGTTAAAGGATCAGCAAAAGAAAAAAACCCCAAAACTAATCAGTTAAATAAAAGAACAAACACAGCATCTTTTGAGAGCTAGCAGAAGTTAGCTATGCATTGGACTCCTCAGTGCTCTAGCAGTGATCTTGGTTCTAAACTCTGGTTAGAGATAGAGCATTGTTTATCTGCTAGCTCAATAGATGACTCATTAATGTACTACAAGAAGCATTAATTAAGGCATTAATGGACCAAAATAAATTCTTCAGCAGCACTTTACATTCAATATTAAAGCTGGTTTACCAGGGCATTTAGGTCCCATTCCTGAATTAGAAGAATATATAACCCTCACAGAGAAAGTGTAAAAAAAAGGCACTAGGAATCCATGAAAGCAAAAAGAAGACCAAAGTAAGAGGAACAGTGATGGAATATGCAGAAAAAAAGCAGGAAAGAAGGCGGCTTGAAACAATGTGGAAAAGACAAAACTGAGTTCCACCCCAAAATTTGGAGATAACCCAAAGGGGAAGAACCAAACAGAACCATGGCTGGAGAATTCAACTAAATGAAAAAACACAATCCATTTGGCTTCTTACTGAGAAGAAATTGCTAATAATGCATTTGTCTACTTTCACTTTCCTGTGTGGAAGAAGCTGCAAGGAAGTAAATCCCAAGTTTGAGAAGTTTCCCTACACTTCAAGTACATAGTACCACCTTGGGTTTGGATCTGGTAAATTCTGTTGTCTTGAATAAAATGAAGCCTTTGTACTGGTTTCAGTAATGCAGCATGTAAAAGGTTAACACATATAACTGTCCACAAAACCTCCCACAAAAGCCTGCCAATGCATCACTTAGGGCAAATTGAGATTTCAGGGATGCTCAAATCCAGCCAGGAACTCCAGCCCTTGCAAAAGTAAACAAAACTCTTGCCTTAAGAAGAAAAAAGGTTTATGTGTGCAGCTTTTCCACTTGTGACTTCATCTACTTTTTCTTATGACAACTTTCTATGAGAGCACATTCCAAATAGAATCATTTAAGCTGTACTGAAGTGTCCAGAAAATCCCATGTGGTTATGAAAGCTGCCACCAAATGAGGGGCTTTTGCATCCAGCAGCCACAAAACATTCCCAGTCACGCAACAGCACTCCTGCATGGATTCTAAATGAAGTCTTTTGAAACCATTTGATAGCAATGTTAAATATGACACTCGCTACCAAAACACAACTTTATTGATTAAACACCAATTGAAAGACCAACTGAATGCAGGACAAAGACATTTCAAAGAGTGTGGTGCAAGTTAGGTGTTAAATTTTTAAGGAGCTGTACAAGAAGGGGAGGTGGCAGTTAAGACAAACAATTTTCTCTCACAAACTGCTCCGACACAGAAAGGTTCATGTAGAGGCTCAGGAGGTTTTCCATGCACCCATGCAATAGAAACATTCTTGAGCAAGTCCCACGTGAAGTATTGCAGAAATGGCTCCAATCACTCTCATGTTTACATTTGAAAACATAAGAAAGCAACAACAAATTCTTCTCTAGAATACAAAATGTGTTTGTTTTCTATGAAGTCACTGGAAGTTCTTCGGGAAGAAAGTTTCTCCCACAGCAGCTAAGGTCAACAAAAGTCGTTCTTTGAAAGAGCTGTCAAACATTTCACTGATTTCCTCTCTCAACTCCCTCAGCAGAGGTACTGTGGACTTACCATCTGCATTCAGAATTCTCTCAAAAAGTTTGCTCCAGAAATCACTGTCAGGGGTCCTAAAACAAACAGAGCAGTGTTCAGTGGAACAATACAAACACACACACACAATGTGTCTGTCAAGGTCTTAATTTATATTCAGCACTAAACATCCAGGGAGAACCACACCTGAAATAATAATTTCACTCACCTGAGTAAATATAAAGGAAAACTAGGAATAAGTTGTTAATTTTAAATGTATGGACCCCATTCTCCAATAGGTTTCTGGATAGTAGCTACACAGGTCTAAGCCAACTGTTTATACAGTTACCTTTTCTGGTATAACTGACCATGACCACCATTCATAGTAAACCAAGGCAGTTTTAGTTTACAGGAATTATCAAGAACATTTTTGAACTGAACAACTTGGGAAACTCCTTTCATGAATAAAGGGCAGAGGTAAATCTTATTTACCCACTTGCAAGCTAAGTTAACAGGGCAATATTAAAGGAAAGCTGCAAGGAAAAAAAAAAAAGAAAAAGGTGGTTTAGAGCCAGTTTTGCTTCCTTTTTCCCCCGCCTTCCATCTGCCACAGTTCTATACAGATAATATTTTGGAGACAATTAATAGTAATAAATCCCCTCTCTCCCAGATGTACCCACACAATACGAATAAAAAGGTTAAGTGACTCATTTAAGTCTCAGAAAACTGATATTAGAGCAAACCCTTTGTTCTTCTGTCTCACACTGCTGCTGACTACTGAAGCACTTTTCTCCCTCCAGCTAGGAGTTACAGTGGCTTTGAAACAAATTATCTGCCTCTGCTTTATCTGACTCACAAAACAGCAACAGCCAATCTCAAAATGAATCCAGCCTGTACTATTTCACTGGTAACTCTTATATTTGCTAAAATAATTAAGGCAATGCAGAACCTAACCAAGAAAAAAATATGCAAGACTTGAGTCCATTTTCTTTGTGGGATTAGATGAGCAAGAGGTGTGGCAGAGGAGATGAAGTGTTGCTAAGGAGGTGTAAGGAGTTCTGAGTGACAAAAATAGTCCTAAAAATTCAAACACAGCTTCTACATCCTGCCTCACATAAACCTGCACAGATGAAGTTTCCTAAAATAGTACAGTGAAAACAGAAAAAAAAATCACCATATCCATTCTTTAATAATGGTAAAAGCTCTCCCCTGAAAAACAGGCTGTAAGCATTATACCTGGGAGATAAAAAAATCAACTTGATCACAATTTACATTCTACCTTCTCCTAAATCTCTATCACAATGTTTCAGTGGTTTCCATTTGTTCTGTCACCTTTAAGTGGGTTCTCTGTTATAGAAAGCCATTGACCTTGGAAGAAAAATGTTGTGCTCTACCCTGCAATTCCCCACTGCTTTGGTAATTTGCTGAACTGGTAGTAAAATCGGTAGCTCTTGCAGTCATTCTGCTATATCTACATTTGTTTAATAAAAATAATTAAGTCCTGTTTAAAAAGCTTTCTTAAGATAAGAGGGTCATGGTTGTTGTATTAACGCCAGTCAGACTTCCAGCAAGAAGCCTTATTTCTAGTTGTCAATATCTGAATTCTCAGAACACTGTTTTTAGGAAAGTTATTCTGTCAATAAAATCCTTGAAAAAAAACCCCCAAAACAACCCCAAAACTCAAATGAACCTCAAAAAATAAAAAAAATCACTTTCCAAATCACTTGGAGAACTTTGAATACAAAGGACAGAAGCAATGTCATTTTTACAAAAGTAGAATTACTAAAAGCAACAGGAAGAAGAATCCTGTGTCTTCAGGGGTGTTACAGTGTCACCAGCACAAGTGGCTGCATGCACAACATGAAGAGCAAAATTGATCTGCGTCAGCTGACTCTTCTCCCAGGGAATACTCAATTGTGGAGCCTCTTCTGGTGGAAGAAGGCTCCCTGCAGCAGGGAATTTGCTTGTCACAGATTACTTCAAAGCTTCAAACTGACTACAGCAAATGTCATCAATCAATAACAACTAGACAGACTAAAAGATCGATGTGTGAACGGAAATGGATTTAGAGCAAATTCCTTATTCCCACATAATGAAATACCTCATTTACACTGTTGATATAAGACTTCAGTACAATGTGTAACTAAAGCACCTATGCAGACATTTATTGCAATAATTGATATTGAAAAGTAAGTACAGATGATGAATGATAAGTCTATAACACTTTCAGAAGCAAAGCAGAAGACAGGATAGAAAAGAAATTCCTTATTTGTACTCTGAACTCCCAAATTATGAACTGATGCATGCAAGTGAGCAAGAAGCCATTACAGCCTGGTTCCAGCTCCACAGAACTTGTGCCCAGACTTTATCTTCTTCCTGCTGTGTCTCTGTAGCCCTTCACAGGTCTCACTCCTCAAGACTCCCTCCAATTTCTACCTCAGCCCAAAATCCTAATTTTTTCAATCCAGAATCCCCAGCTTTGACTATAATTCTTTTCCAATAAATTCCTCCTCTCCAAACTTCACTGACAGACAGACAGCCCTATCCTTCCCAACTCAGACTTACTATTCCTCCTGCCCCAGTTATCCAGACAGTTACTGCTCTTTTTCCCATACCCACATCCTGATCGGGTCCTTGACACCATGTCTCAGCCTTCTCATCTCAGGCCTTTATGTGGCTTCACCTGCAGTATTTCAATTTATTCTCTTGCAGAATTAAACAAAGGATATCATAGTAGAAAACCAGGCATATAGGCAGTAAAGGAAGGAAAAAAAAAAGAGACATGTTTTCCTCTGTATACAGCTTAAGAAGATAGGATTTTTTTTTTTCCCAAGGCTTAACACAACAAACTGGGAGATGTAAGCAGTGCAGGTTGCTAGGGAACTGGACAACTCCCACACTGCTAGTATGTTTTCTTAAAGCAATGGTCCTAGGAGTGATCCAGGATCCTGAATCAGATACCTATCCAGCAACTGCTGGAAGAGTTCTGGAAAATCCTTGTGAAATGCCAAGGCAAGAAAACCTGCAGTATATGCCTACAAAATAAACAACAGCAGCTTCCAAAAAGCAGCTGTTTGCACACTTGCATCTTAGGTGACAGTTTTAAATTATTATCTTTGCTGTACAAATGTACTGTTTCTACAGCTGTTACACTCTGCCATTAGTGTCTTAGTAGAATAAAAAAAAAAGGCAGAAAAGCAGAAAGCCAAACTAATCCATCTCTGAGGCAACATGCCCATGTGATCTTTGCCCCCCTCACCACCCACCCACTTACAAACTTCTCCAAGCTCTAAGGTGCTGACTAAGCCTCATCTGAAAGGATCAAAAAGCAAAATCATTTCATCTCGTTTATTCATATTCAACTTAAAATTGTCTCCTATACAGCACTGAGGCCACCAGTGAGGAAGTCCAACAACTTCACAATTTCCAGCCCCACAAAACTAACACTTTGGCAAAAAGAGCCCCAAGTTGTTTACATTCCAAGCTCTGAAGACAGTACAGTCTAAGCTCTGAAGACAATATCACTATGAAGAAAATGAAATTAGATGTCTCTTCTTTCCCAGCAGCCCCCCCTCTGCAAAAGGACTTACTCTGAAAGGTTTTTGCTGATTTTCCAGATGGAATTCTCCTGGTAGACCTGGATATGATCCCCAAACAACAGCAAATGGACTATATCTGCAATGCCAACCAAGTCTACCTGTAATCACAACAAATACCACAAAGTTCAATGTCTATCACTTTCTGCTCTTAATGCTTTCACACATTTAAGTCAGAACCATCCTTACACCAGAAACTTCCAGAGACCTGTTAAAGAAGAAAACTTCTAAAGGTAAAATTCTGTTTTCATTATAGGTTTCTAAGTAAATACAGTAGTTACAATCACTGAATAGCACTGCTAATCCTTTCACTTAATGCCAAAGATTCCATCAGATGCAAAATTCTCTTTTTTTAGTATTTATTGATCAGAGCTTTCCATGGCACTTGTAAATTTTAATTTAAGAAAATGGGTTTTGTAAAGGAAACACAGAAATTAAGATGTCCTACTAAATACAGACTCACCTGATAGGGAAGAGAACTTTCTGCCAGAAGTTGTTGTCCATGAGGAGTCTGAGCTGTGGGAAAGCTATAGGGCAAGCTGACTTGAGGCAGTACCCTCAAATCCAGACTGTGAGAGAAATCCACCACCTTCAGAGCATTTGCCACCTCCTCATTAGAAAACGCGTCGCAGATCCTGAGCAGAGGAAGCACATGAGGCAGAAGACAATCCAACAAACTTTTTCTGTCTTTTAGAATTAAATTTAACAGCACAGTGAAGGTGAGTCTTAACCATGTCAATACTCCCCTCTGATGGCTGCTGTCAGAACTACTGCTGCTAGGGCTGCCCTGGATGGCAAGAGCTCACAGCAGGGAGCTTAGGCATGATAGTGCTGTCTCCACAGTAAGCAACAGGAAACAATAAAGGGTTGAGAATGATGCTATTTTTGTATTTGTCACAGTTATCTGAAACAAAGTCTGGGGACTGTGGGAATAGTGTGATGTCTTTTCACTGGTCCTGAAATGATGAGCCAGACACAGGTGATAAAAAGGGGTTACCTTTGTAAGGATCCTTATGGTGCACAACACGATGAAAAGCGCTGAAGATGCACACATAACACAGCAGGTACAGTTTTTATATGATTAGCAAATTAGCATAACTGACAAGAATCCTTAATTAGAGACAGGGGTGATGAGGGAATTCCCCCTGGTTCTACCCATTTCTGAACAACTGCCCTCAGACAGGAACTAAATTTTGTTTATGAATATGTGTCTCGAAGAGCTGGTTTTCAGCCTTGGCTTTCAGAGACCCCAGGGCTTGGAGCCACTGGGGAATTTATTTTGTCTTTCTGTCTAATAGAGCAGGTAAAATGATCGTTACAACTGCAATAAGGCTACAGAGCTACAAATATAGATACGTAAAGAATATAGAGGACAAAAGCAAAAAGGCAAGAATCAATTCGGAATCAGTGTAACGTTTTGCACTTCCCCCTCCCCAACTAAATCTCAGAATACCTGATACAAAAAATAATTAAACTTGATAATATTTCAACAAACTTCTCCTAGTCTACAGGTGAGGGAAGACAAAACAAAAGGGCAGGGAGGAGTATCTCTATTGACAACTACCAAGCCAACAATATCCACGTATCACAGCTCACTACTACTCTTCTTACATACTCATATGCTCTGAGCTTGTTTTGTAACTTGTACTATGCACTTGTCCTTTTGCTACCTGAAAAACCCCCAAACCATTATCCTAACTTTTTGGCAGTTGTTTATTTTGTATTTGCCACAGAGGAATTCAGCAGGAGGTATCCATGTCCATCAAGCCACTATTATATCAGTGACTTCCAAAAGAGGACGCAGCACTCTAAGAAATGTGCAAGACAACCCATTTCAGGATGTGAAGAAAATATTAGAATTTGCATAGTACAGGTATGTAATTTGTAAATAATTATGTAAATAAGTTATTAATAAAATAATCACAAAGAAATTATAAGTAAAATATGTTGGGAGTATGTATGTCAGATGACTGTAGGCTCAAAGTAAATTTAAATTTAATAGCTATTTTTAACATATCAATGATAACTAAGAACAGCCCCAGTGAATTTACATAATGGAATTATATCTGATTCATTAGACATTGTGGTTACTGGCTTCCCACTGATGCCTGAAGTTTTTAGCTTTTATGTATTTTTCATGTATTTGTAGTTCTGTAGACTGTTAAATGCCTCAGTGTAACTTCCAGTACTTTTCCAGCTTTCCTTCCCACAATGAACAGACACTTATTAACACATTCCTAAAATTTTGTTATCTCTTGCCTGTAAGTTCTCCAAGGACACTTTATTTTGCACCATGTAATCACTGGCATAATAAGGGTAGGGGAGGATGGCAGAACCCAGGGAGGAGATTACATAACCAACTGCTCCTCTCATTGGACAATATTGGCCAGATATTCTAATTGCCCAATCTTATCAATTGCAAGGATCTAATTTGGGCCACTGTTTTTTACCATATTATGTACCTGAAGGCACGCAGCCTTCAAGGAAAGGTTTGCTTTTATATTATCATTCTAACGTGGTCTGGAAAGGTTTGTGCATTATTTCCAGACATCACCACACTTAGTTCACATATCACATTCCAAGGGATACGTGACTTTGTTAACATAACATGGGAAAGAGCTTAAAGAACAAAATTAGGTCTATGCATTAAGGTACCAGCTGGACTGCAGAGGAACCTGAACACTTTGTTTAGGGTATCTGGATATTCCAGTCCCACCTGTCTTATGTCTTCTAATCTCCTGGGTTTCAGGTATGTAAAGGCAAGTTACAAACCATACTGTAACTTGCTTTAGCGGTCCAGAACCTTGGTAAAGAAGAAACTTAAAAACATGGGTAATAGCAAAACCATTTTGTTGAGCAGAAGTTTTACAATGTTAATGTATACTATTTCTACAGGAAGGCTTATTCCTAAATTAAGTGTTTTCACTCTTATCAGAATACACTGGAGCCTAAAAAAGCTGGACTGCAAAATCAGGCCTGTTTTGCCAGTGGGCAGGCTCAGCACAAGAGGCACAGAAACCAACTTAAGGAATAGTGTCATTTTCTATAATGCAAGACTATAAAGAATAACACAAGGAGAAGCTCAGCAATGCACCTCATCACTGCTACCAAGGACTGCCTATAGCAATTAAGATACAGCACCAGTTACACTCTAAGACTCCACCACCCTCCAGAGCCACACAGCAGCTGGGGGACCCTGTCACAGCCAAGCACTGCAGATCCCCTCCCAGAACTGGGAATTCCTACGGGTGCGTCCACCCGCAGGCAAAGAGGCTTCCAACTGGGCTGGGACAGGGTCCAGCTTGGACAGTGGGCAAGAAACAAGCTCACACCACTTCCAGTGCAGGAACACCTGCAGTCAGCCTCCTGCTGGGTTCCTCCCAAAGCCTGGCCAGGGCTCAAGGAGCAGACCAGGGAGTTGCCTTTACTCCTATACCCCCAAAACCCAAGTGTGGCCTTATCTGGTTTCTAAATACAGGAACGTGAATACATGTTTTGACAACGAGTGGATACATAGATCATATTGCTAATGATTCTTCGTTAATGAGTAGATACAAATATATCATTTGGTTGGAAGGTTCATCTAGAGGTCAGCTTTGGCTCAGGGCCTGTTGTTCAGGCCTCAGTACTTCAGTACACCAGCTCAAGGGTAGAAGTTACAGCAGCACAGGGGCTGTAGCTGAAATGACTGTTCTGTACCCTCCCATATTCACAGGCAGAGACCAACCTGTCTCCCAGAAAGAACACCTCTGGCCTCAGATCTCCATGGACAATCTCAGCTTTGTGCAGCTTCTCTACCACATGCAGAAGATCACGAACAATCAAGAAGATGATTTCCTTTGTGATGAACTTACAGTTATGGAGAATATCCTGAAAAGAGAATAAACATCTGTCTCTGTACCCTTCTACCTTAGATTAGATGAAATATTTATAGCTCACTTTTTGTTTCATTTTTCATCTGTACAGAGGTAACAGTCCCACCATAAACTCAGTATAATCAGATTTTGCCCAGACAGAATTACAAGAACTGTAAGCTAGGAAACATTATTGTTCAGAATTGGACAAAAGACCAGGAGGGAGAAATTGAAGACTGAAATCACTACTGAATTTCAGTCCTATTTGTATGCAACAATTCCAAATGCACTTACAAGACTTAAAGTGCGAATCATTCAGCAAGACATTAATTGCTGTGACCTTGCTGTAGCTGACTGGAATGTACTGCAAGAGGTCAAATTAAACAACAGCTTTAGATGCAAATCTTGCTGTGGAATAATATGTGGTTCTTGGCTGCAGTCTTTATGACTCACAAAGACAAAAAATGTGAAAAATTGGTTCAAGATTGTCTCTGAGAAGCACATGATCTATGAATGAGAAACCAGACCCAAATGAGGCATTAACAGACAGCCCTGATTTGTACACAGATAAAGACCAGAGCACCTGTATTGCAGGATTAGACAGGAGAAGCTCTTCAGCAAGGAGCATAACACCACTCCAAACTCACTACTGGCACCCAAGCAGGAGTTTGGGCCTTCCAACTGTCCTTGGTTTGTCTGTACTGACCCTGAGTGTGAAGCAATTTGTATCCTTGTGCAAAATGACACAACCATCCTGGTACAGGTAACAGCTGCAATTCTCACTGAAGTTCTGGTCAAAGTCAGAATTCAAACGCTTCTGTAACTCAAGGGTGATATAAAAATCCCAAGGCACAGGCTGAGAATACACCTACAAGAAGGTACATAAGAAGAACATTTATTTTTTGAATAAAGTGAAAATTGCTCATTTTCATATTCTTCTTATCCTCTTCCCCCCCACCCCCCACTTGATCAAGGAAGACATTTTTCACAGTCAGAAACTTTTAATCTAGATCCTCAGTCAGGAAGAGGACTCAAAGTAGCAAACCTCTTGCATGGAATTCAGAAATTAAGAGTTTATATTAATGGATAAGATTTTACCAGTTCACACTTGTACAATAACCATCATGTGTGTTACCTTTGTTGCAAATCCCTTTGCATCCCACTGGAAAATGCATCCAGTTGGAATGGCAAAAAACATCTTGTATTCTTCATTGTTCCAATATTCCATTTTGATGCAGTAAGTCTCATTTCCTGTGTTGAAAGTTTATATTCATAAACTGTCATAAGTATGTAAATAGCTAGTAAATAGCTCTCCCCAAGTCATTCCCCATCTGTGCCACATAAAACTAAGAGGGTAGACACGAGCCCTAACTCAAACCCATTAGAACACAAACTCTGCACTGCAGAGGGTCTGGCACACCTACCCAGCTCAACGTCTTTCTCAACCTCCATGTGAGGCAGAGCTCCAGCCTCCAAGTGAAAACCTGGAGAAGCAGCCAATGATGACAGCACAGAACTCAGAAGCTTTTTACGCTCTTCAGGGCTCCACAGGATCTGAGCCACGTCGTCATCTAAGAAAACAAACAACATGAAGAGATGAGCTGAAACTGTGTTAACTCTGCAACTTGGTTGTATCTGTCAGTAACAGTATAACAGTAAGTATAAGTAAACTGGATACTGGAAACTTTGGATCCATGTTCTGATGTACTATTCATCTCTTAGCAAGTCAACTCATCTCTTTTCAATAGTTCTGGGAAGTCAATGTGACCCTTGTCTTTAAAGTTGCCTTACAGACTTTTATCACCTTGAGGTCTCAAGGATTCTACTGCAGCATCATGCAAAATGTATCTTTCACAAGAGACAAAACTGAATTATTTCAGCCACAGCAGAATTCAAACTCAGTCTGCAAATCAACATCCATTTTTTTAATCTATGCCCATATCAAGTGATTAGTTTGGGGTTTTTTAGTTATGGTGTTTAGGGAAATTTAGTCCTTTGATTACAGCAGAGGTTTTATGTAAGAAAAGGAAAACAAAGTTGGACTCCAACTCTACTGCTCACTGCAATGTTAAGAATTTGATGGCTTTTATTTCCTGGAAGACACCTGTAGGACTGGACTTACTTTCCTTCATAACAGAACATAAGGTCATTCAATTCAATAAATGAGTTGATCTGTAAAAACCAAGACAGCCTCAATGTTTATTCTGCTTGATCATTGAGACAAAACACAAAAACTAGATAGCCTCTACTGCCTTCTCCCAAATGCCATGGCTGTAATGAGAGAGAACATTTCAAACTTCCACAGTATACAGGTAGGAACCAGATTATCTACTGTTATGCCCACTCTTATTTGAAAAGCATTGCAGTAAGTACTGATCAGGAAGCAATTCTGTGAAAGATCCAGGAAATAATGTAAGCTGGAGGCTACAATGTGTTCCAAGCTTTTGCCATCACAAACTTAGGAAATTGACTGTCATATTTTTCAGGAATAAATGGACAGGTACCTGAAGTAATTTCTGCCCTTTACACAGCATTAAGAATTACTATATCCAGGGTGAGAGCTGCAGTTCACGGGAGATGTCAAGAAATCAAAAAATAAAGCAACTGGAAAGATCCAAAATTTAAGAAAGGACCATTAAATCATCTGAATAAATGCTTTCTTTTTTTCTAAAAAGATTTTTCATCTTGCTCTAAAGTTTAGTACATATGATAAAAACAAGACAAAGATCCATCCAAAATATCCCAGCTATTTCAGTGACGTGACTTCTGATTGCATTTTCATTCCAAGTGCCAAGCATGCTTTATCATAAAATAGTCTGTAGGCACATGAGAACATAACTCTCCAGAGTAGATACACTGAAATTTCAAATACACAACTCTAATAAAGAACCATAAAACAAAACCAAAGTAGTGAAAGAAGGTTAAACACCTTGAACACCATCATCCAACTCACATCTAATTCCACAGGCCAGATTTTGAAGGCTTTTTGTGACCATTTCTGTTCTAACTGTAATCTAATATTTAGAACAGAAAGAAACAATGCCTTTAACTAGGAGAAAAATAAGCAAAGAAATTGACTATTTAAGTATCAGTACTGCTTTCCGTCAATAGGAATAAGAAGGATACTGTGAAGCAGCACAACAGTTCATAGCACAGTTAAAATGCAGATTTCAACCAAAATTATGCAACTTGCACTAGACTCCAAATATGTATTCATTCTTTTCAAAGTAGTAGCTTATCAGCACATCAGGAGACACACAGTATGATGACAAGAAAAAAGGAAAAGGAAGACAAACCAAAACAAAGCTACCTAAGCCGTTATTACTGCCAACCAGTCCAAATTTTTAATTTTGGAATTTGACCTCATTACTCCTACAGACTGTCTGCTTTACTACCCTAAGTAAGTTGTCTGTCACCTTAATACTGACATGCTTTGGATGCTGACAAGCATCCTGCAGTGCACCTCACTGCTGCTTCAGACAAGGAAGACAAGTTGAGCCACCAGCCATAGTAACACACAAAGCAGAGCGGGATACAGGAAGGACAGAAACCCCCCACATTTAGTGACAGGTGCAAGTTATTTGATGTGAGTGAAATTCAGTTTAATACTAACCAGTAACCACTTCAGCAGGCAAGCTCTGAGCCAGCTCCAGTTTCTCACTGATGTGCAGGTATTTAATAGCAGATGTTTGTGTAACAGAGGACAGAGAACCTCCTGAGACAGAAGCACCGGACGAGTGAGTATCTTCCAGGCTGGCTTCCATGATTGGGCTGTAAATAAAGCCATCAAGTACTCAGACTAACCGAAGATACAAGTTGTAGATAACATCAACTTGTTATCTACAACAATAGATAGAGGAGAGGACTCAGTGCACACCCAGATTTAATTAACATGAAGAAATACTTTCCCATCCCTAGCAGAAAACCAGAAGTCATGTCAGAGCTTCATTTCAGTTTTGATGATTGATTGTACTCACAATCTTAGTCTAGAGATGATTTTATAAATCTTCTCTTTCACAAAATTTAACTGCTACAACAGAAGACATCCTGAATATTTATCACAACCTTTGCTACAAAATTTCAGTGCTTTCAAAGCAGTGAAGGGTTGGGTGGGAAATATTTCTTCCTAATTATAATGAGCAAGGAACCTCCTGAGTAAAAAACACATTCAGTATGGTATACATGTTTACATACTAAGAGCCAGCAAATAAATTCAACTCTAGATTAAGAAACTCCCATACAACAGATGATTTTTCTTCACAACGATAAAAAGGTTTTTCTTCTCTTCAGCTTTTTTACTCTGTAAAAAAACTAAACCAGAAACACTAAAACCATTTTATATAGTCAAAATAAGTACAGGAGCCAATAGTATAAAAGGAACTGATGATTCTACTCTTCATGGGTGATAATGAAGATAGAAAGCATTCATTAGTTTCTCTGCAAGTTATTTGGTTAAAAAATCTTGTAAATTAGTCACACAGCAGTAATGCAAAAAGCCAAGTGGGCTTGCTATTACCTTTCAATCTGCTCAAGGCAAAGTGGACTCTGAGCTAAAGAAATGGCTTTCTTCACAATATTCTGGTCTTTTCAGAAAACTCCTTCCTTAGCAACACTAAAACCACAACATGAAAGACATGCTAGTGGATTCATCAAATATAGAGAAAAATGGAACAGCAGCCGGTGGGGGAAGCAGACCTACATCTGTAAAGAAAAACCAAGAGGCTCTGTCATATCCACAGCTCTTCTAAAATAGCATATCCAACACTAGTTAAGATAGTTAATATGCAGTTCTAGAAGTACTGCTCCTAACAGCAAGTTACAGAGCTGGCATATAAAGAAACCCATTTAAAAAGTTTTCATTTTGCCATGAACCACCCCTTTACCACCATATTATGTGAGCTAACTTGCTGTGTTCAGACTATGCTTCAGAATTTGTACATTTTCCTGCAAGACTGTCTGATTTCTCTGTTTCTCCTTAGAGTTTAAAAATGTATTTCCACTGTGGCTGTCTGGGGATACATCAGAGTCTGGATAACTGCTGTCAACAGCAACACAAGTCAACTCCAATCAGAAGTAAAATTTTTCAGGATTTGACCTTCCCAACAAAACTTACCAAAATCAACAATAGACAATTTTGGGATGTATTCCCCTAGCAAAACCTCTGAGAATAAAGGACTTAAGGTAATTAATAATCTCATTATAGCATTAAACTCTTCTGAAATGTTAGTAAGACTGCAAACATGAAAAATGGAAGAAAACTTTCCAGCTACTGAAAGAAAAATGCCCTTCTTCTTGAAAGTCCTTTCAAATAGTGACAGTTCTCAGATGCTCCAATTTTTGCTCAGTAAGGTAAAAGGCACTACTAACAAACACACTGCCATTCTTCTAATCCACCTAAGCTTTGGGTTTTACTTTGCTTGTAAATACCTTCTTGGTATTCATGGAACACTTCCCTTTAAACCAGACCTTCTTGTTAATGGTAAAAAACTTGATTACTTACCCTCAGAAGAAGATGGTTTATGTAGTTGAGTATCTTCATAGACCTGGAATTCACTGTGAAAAAGATAAAACAAACAAGTTTGTATTCTACAGACCTTCACAAAATGTAAGTAAACTTTGTGAAAAAGGCAAGTCAAGATGACAAATGCTTCTTGCAAAAAGTTAAGATCCCTCAGACAAATAATCAAACAGAGAAAGAGCACAGATCCTGGTTACAGACTGATGCCAAGGCTATATTCCATCCTACCTGAGAAAACAGGCTGCTAATGATCCATGTTACTAGTCATACCTACATAGCCTCAAAGTGTTCTCTCTGCTGGCTAAAACACCCCTCTATTACCTTTGTGACTGAGGCTGTTTCTCCCCATATTCTTTTGCGCTGGAAAAAGTAAATCCTTGCAATGCCAAAGGTGTGGAAGCTCCCATTACCTCTGCTGCCTGTGGAAACAACGCCACATTTCAGTTGTACAGTGGGAGAGAATCACAAGCCAGGCAAAAAGGTTCCAAAAACATGCAGATAATTTCACATAGCCATTAAAACCCTGATAGAAAATGGTTGCCTTTAGCTACTTTTATCTGTGCTTAGCTTACCTGCATGAAGAAAGTAAAGTCCCCTTTTATTGCATAGTGAAGTTAAAAGGCATCATTTATTCTTTGCAACCATATTTATACTTTCATAGGAGATTTTAGTTACCCTGCAACTGTTAAGGACATATGTAAGCAGTTAGGTAGCTTACAAAGTCACAACTCTTGTTTCACTGTTTCATTATTTCAAGTACTTACCGTGAAGGCATTGTTTTGGAAACAGAGAAGGAAGAGAGAGAGGGGGAGAGAGAGAGAGACAATATACCTCACTAGTGGAGAATCCTTTCAAAAGAACTTCAAAATGTGTTACAAGAATATCAGAAACGCTTCCTTTTGGCTTTCTTGGGTACTTTCATTTAAAATTGCAGCTATTTGCAGTTAAATGAGGACAATACCTGTTCGTGCGGTTGTTGCTGCTTGTTATCTTCTTTCTTCTTTAATTTCTGTTCCAGCTCTTCAATTTTCCTTTGTATTTCTTCCTTCTTCCGTTCTATGGCTTGTATTTCATCTAAGGAAAGAACACCTCTAAGGCCCAATGCCTATTTCACATACAATTGGTGGCTGCAGCCTAAATTCTCAAGGGGCTGAAACTTCTGGTGGTCTTTCCCTGTCCCACACTTCCACATAAAGCTGTTGAATGTGTTACTGTCTCTGTACCTCACAGCAGTTAAACAACTACTCCAGTAGAAAAAGAGAAGCAGCTGCAGTAACAGACAGAAGCAAATACAATTTTATGATTCCATCTGGAATGCCTTACTTGCTCCAGCCCACTTTGGAACATACCCTCGTCTTTCTTTCTTGCTTTCTTCCTGTAGATTTCAGCTCGGATCTCTTCAAAAGAGAATTCATCCACTCCAGCATAAACTTTCTCTTTGCAGTACATCACCATCTCTTTCTTTGCCTGAGCATCCTGCTGCTGATGCTGCACTCGCTGCAGTGGGTCCTCCCGCTCCTCAGGTTTGCGAGTACTTAACACGCAGTTTATGCTGGGCTCAATTTTGCAGGGGGTCCTGAAAAAACAGGAATTTATTAGGTGGGCTTTGTGAACTTCACTGTAGCACAGAAAAATGGGCACAGGAGAAAGCAGGGCTAATTTCAGAAACTAGTTTTGGAGTATTGTAAAGACACTCTGTTCTGTGCTTAGAAAAAATACATGAGAAAATTTGAATAAATAACACCAAACTACTCAGAATTGTGGTAACTAAAACAACACAAACAACAACAAACAACAGAAAAAACCAACTTAAAGTATTTATAAGGTACAGTCAAAACCAAATAAAATTCTTATGATGTCTAACTGTCATGCATCCTGAAACAGGATCTGTTCAATTTAATTCCATTCAGCTGTGTGACCACAAGCACGACAAGTCCCTAAACTCCGGTTTGTACAATGATTATCTGGGAGAAAAGGGACACACAAGAGAAGGGACATAAAAATGGACATTCTTGGGCCACATCAAACCTACATGCTAACTTCAGGAGAGAAGCAGCAATGCTGGTATAGCTTTACAAACACCAGCAATCCAGATGACTTCAGCTGGATAAACTCAGATCTGGGAGTGATCATGAGGCAAACAAGTGCTCCAAATGTTTGGTGTTTTAAAGCGTTATTGGAGGAATGTGGGGATCAATACCAAGATCCCAACAGGGTCCTTCTGCCGAGAACCCTGCATGACAGCTCGTGGCATGATTTGCATCATATTTAAACAGACTCAGCATAACACTTCCACATCTGGCAGGTAACAATGTTATCATAAGGAAATGGATTCAAAATCCAAAAACTACTTTTAAGATTTCAACTAGATAATCTCAACCTACATACCAAGTCTCTGCCTAAGTCACTTAGAGCTAACTTAGCCTGGCACTCAGTTCTACCCACTCCATCCCTCTCCCTGCTAAGAAAAGCCACTGCCTTGGCAAGTAACAAATCTTCATCCCAGTGAAATGGGCAGGCCAAGAGATTTACCCTCTCATGTGCCATCACTGACCTTCAGGAGAAACAAACAGTCTTACATTTTCAACAGGAATGCACATTTCACATATTTGTCAACTGCACCATGGCACAGGGAATGTTTTGTACATATTGAGGGATATATATACACCTTATCCTGGTCAGGTTGGGTATTCCTTATTTTCCACAGATGCCACAGTTCTCATTTTACAGCCAAGATTGTCCCAGTTCTATGATAATATTCATTCCCTGTCCACCAACAACCTCCAGATTTCGATTTTGTGAGGTTTTTTTCAATTTTTCCATTAAGAGACCAGTGCAACACCACAAAAATCCCTTAACTGTTTCTGAGGTTCATTAGTAAAGAGAAGAGATGGAATTTAGGCTGGCAACACACTACTCTTATCTGCCTATTTTAATTGCCTGAGACTCTTCAGCACAAAAATTTACATGGTGGGAATACTTCACAAACTCACTCCTGTTTTTCCATGATTTCCCAAACTGTTTCCTGAGGCATCATGCTGAGGCTGTAGCACAGTTGCCCACAGAAGCTGTTGCTGATCCATCCTTGGAGTGCCAAGGCCAGGTTGCATGGGGCTTGGAACAACCTGGGCTAGTGGAAGGTGAAACCAGATGATCTATAAAGGTTCCCCCCCAACCCAAACACTTTTGTTATTCTATTACGAAATCTGTATTTACAATAGACACAAACCACAGGCAAGGGAGAAAGAGACGATCTCTGTTTCAGCAATCAGAAGTCATCAACTTGCACCCTCCTCTCTTTTCCCCATCCATTTTGAGCCTCCTTACCCTGCCAGAGTTCCACGGTCCTGCGCGGAGTTCATTCTCCTTGGCTCTGGGAACTGGCGGTGCTGGCCATGACTGTGCTGTAAGTGTGGGAATCTCAGGTCCAGGCACAGAATTTTCATCAAATACGGCAAAACTTGGAGTGTTTGGAAGCTGTAGAGAAGCCTGAGGCTGGCAGCTTCTGTTTGGGTTCAAGGCTATTAGCAAGAAGATTTTTATCAATTAACCTTCAACCATCACATTCAATTGCAAATCTCACTATAAAGAGATTAAACTCCTTCCGTAACCGTTTTTTTAGCTCTTTAATGTACCTTTAACTGCATCTCCCACACGACTAATGGGGGCTCTCACTTTCTTCTTCCCTCTGCCTTTGAGGTCTGCCAGCGAACTTCTCTGAGGCTCCGCAATTCCCAGCAATCCCATATCGTCTCCATCAGGACTTTCCTCAAGTGCCAGTAGTGTCTGCCGAGAAACACGGGCCTGAAACTGCCTAGAAAAAAAAAATAAAATTGGAGAAGTCAGCATAACCTTCCCTATCCCAGGAACCCAGGTGAGCACCTAAGTTCTTCCCTTACTTGTGATGAGCCTGGAGTTTGTCCAAAGGCTCAGCCTTGCGCTGGAGTCCTTCCTGGAATATCAGATCTGCTTTCCTGAAGCTGCCCCTGGCCTCGTGTGCCTCTGCCCAGGTGATGTAGAGCGGGGCCAGCGTGGTGCCGATGTCCTGGCTGTGCAGGTAACTGTACAGATCCAAGGGCTCGTTGCAGCAATCGCCCTGAAATGACCCAAGGATGTCTTTAATCACACGCCACTGCAGGGGGGTCCCAGTCAAAATCTGCCTTTCAATGCCTCCAGCAAGACTCCAATCATTTCAATACAAGTCTGACAGGAACAGTTCTAAGGCCAGTACACAGAATTTATCATTTCTTATTTCAATGTGAGGTAATTCAATGATTGAATTGCACTATATTAGTATTCCTGAGAATAAACAGTTATTTTGGCTTCAGATGAAGCATAGCATATTCCTTGCCACTTTTGGAACTGGTAGATTACCTCAGCAAAAACAAAAAAAGTTTTTTGCTTTGCAAAAAAATGGACAACAAAAATCACAGCAATGGAGAGACTGGACAGGGCCAGAACACACTTAGCTTGCTTTAGAGTTTAAAAGGATTTTAGCTAGAAGCTAAAATATCTGAAAGGACAAATATATTTTAGATGTTGTATCTTTAAATCATTTTCCCCTTAAATAAACATTTGAACTCTATTTATTCAAGGCAGCTTTTAAAAATTAAAAAATTCTAGAGTTGGTAGCTATCCAAAGTGAACAACCCTAAAAAATAGTCTGGAAATGAGACCAGAACACATTTAGCTTGCTTTAGAGTTTAAAAAGATAGGGATAGAAGACAGCTAGAAGCTAAAATATCTGAAAGGACAGATATATTTTAGATGTTGTATCTTTAAATCATTTTCCCCTTAAATAAACATTTGAACTCTATTTATTCAAGGCAGCTTTTAAAAATTAAAAAATTCTAGAGTTGGTAGCTATCCAAAGTGAACAACCCTAAAAAATAGTCTGGAAATGAGAAACAGAATTCAAGAGTAACATTTGCAGAAAAATACGTCCAATATCGCACTCGTTGTACAACACTGTTTGACTCTTGTCACCAGAACCAACTTAGCTGTGTGCAGACAACATGACAAAGTCCCAAGAAAAAGCAGCACCCAAGAGATGTTCCCAAAACACTCACAAACTTGAGCCAGAGATTAAGATAGCGAAGGTCTTTGTAGTATCGCTGCTGCCCGTGGAGGGCTTGCACTGCCCTTTCCAGAACTGCTGACAGGTTGCCATCCTTGCCCCCCCCAGGGAAGGCCTGCTCTGTCCACTTGATGTACCTAGAGACAGAATGTGTTCATAGCAAGTCAGTTCTTAATAAGCGTCTGTAAAATATAAAGAGATTAAGAAAAAAAATGGCATAATATTGAAACACAATATAATATTTAAAAACAATTATAAAACTTAGCTTTCAATGAGTTTCTTATTAAATTAGAATGTTTCCCTTGCTTTTACAAGGATATGTGACCATTTAACTCTTTTTTTCTGAAATAAAGAAAAACTTACCGCTCCCACACATCCAGAGGATCATCTCCAGAGTAAAATCGTATTTCTGCTTCAAACTCCCTAAAATATAACATTATTAATCCAATAAATACATTTGTATCACTGTAAGTTGATCTTGCACATTACAAATTAAGAGTTAATTATTAATTTAAAAGCACAGCCAGATCTCCCTAGTGTTTGCTGTTTAAATGCTCTGTTGCAAAATGAAAAAGCTGAAGTCTGTACTACACAACACCTGCACTGAGTAGTTCTAAAATCCTAGAGCGTGGTAATAGCACAGACATGAATTACTGAACTTCTTTTATGCCTTTTTAAATGCCTATGAGATTGGTACAGTTTAAGAAAATAGAGATAAAATGAGGAGGGAGGGAGTAAGATAAGGTGAAAAGAGCTATTATAACATCACTTACTGTTTTTTAAGCTGCACAGCAGTGTGGCTGGAAGAGTCCTGCTGCGACAGTGCCTCTTGCAAGCTGGACATCACCCGCCCCTGCCTGAGGGGCTGCACATTCTCCTTGCTCAGCTCCCACTCGTGGCTGTCCTCCTGGGACATGACCACCTCTCCTCCAATCCTGAACGCTTCTCCTTTAATTCTGCATTTAAAAAGGAAAGGACACCTGTACGGCTGGGTACTGACCTGAAACCTCACAGAGACAGCTTTCCTAAGTCCACTCACCCACCCCACAGCCCCTCCTCACGGCTCTCCCTGTGCCCCTCAGCCCCGCGCACCTCACAACTGAGAGCCCCTGAGCAATGCCACAGCATTGCCACAGATCCCCACGGCCCCTCAAGCCGTACGCACCTCGCGGCTCCCCATCCCCACAGGGATCCCACAGCCCCTCGCGGATCCCCGAGCGCCTCCCAAGGACACCACAGCCCCACGCACCTCAGGCCGCCTCTGTCCCTTACAGACCCCACAAGCATGAGCCCCGTGCACCTCGCAGCCCCTGACGGACTCCACAGCCCCCCCAGATCCTCGAGGGCCCACAGCCCCTCAAAGACTCCACAAGCCCTCAGCCCACCCCAGCCCCACAGGCGCGCGCGCCCCTCACGGACTAAACATTCTTCAGTCCCGCGCCTTTCACAGCCCCTGAGGCCGCCTCGGTCCCTCAGGGACACCACAACCCTCAGCCGCCGAGAGCGTCTCACCCCACACGGCCTCATCCCTTACCGACCCGCACGCCCCTCACGGACCCCACAGCACCGCGGGCCCCTCCGAGCCGCCCGCACCGACACAGCACCCCAGCGGCGCTGAAGCCGTAACGGCGGCGCCGCCTCAGAATTCAAACTTCTCCCACCTCCCCATTGGCCGCACCCCGCCCCACCTGATTGGCGCCGTCCTGCGTCGGCCCGCGGCATCACGGGAAATGTAGTTCTCCCCTCACCCGCGGCACCGGCGGGAAATAATAAAAACTTTTATAAATACTGTGCTCGCAGTTAATCTAATCAGAATGGCATACTCCTGTTCGTGCTCCCATATGTTCCCGCCCTTTCCCTCTGCTAACTGCTGACAACTCGCTGATTCCCCACGTTATTTCTCTGTCTTAAATTCATTCTGTCACTTTTCCTGAGGCACTCACCTCATGCAACTGGCGATGTGCTCCGCTTCAGTGTCACAGAAAACCTCACTTTTTGGGCATCCCTGAAAAATGAATGGTTTGACACTCCCAAAAGTGGCAGGCTGTGTTAATAAGATGCTTAGTCCCATTAATCACATTGACTCTAGGAGTATAAAAGGAACAAGTGATTATGCTTTTCATGTTTGATAATGAGGACAGAAAGCTTTCATTAATTACTCTGCAAGTTATTGGGTTAAAAAATCTTGTACTTAAGTCCCACAGCACTAATCCAAAAAGCCAAGTGGGCTTGCTATTATTACCACTCCAATCTGCTCAAGGCAAAGTGGACCCTGAGCTAAAGAAATGGCTCTCTCAATGATATTCTGGTCTTTTCAGAAAACTCCTTCCTTAGCAACACTAAAACCAGTGCCAAGAGATTTACCCTCTCATGTGGCATCACTGACCTTTGGCAGCAAGAAACAGTCTTACATTTTCAACAGGAATTGCAGGATCATATTTACAGGAAAATGGACATGTACTTAATGAACCAGCCTAACCTCCTGGAACTGAAGACCGAGGTCATCTTTGTGTATAGAAAAGCTATTGTTGCCAGAAGAAGCAGGAGAAAAGTTACTGACAAACACTGGGGTATCAACCTGAGTAAAATGACACTTACCAGCATCGACCAGTTAGGTTAAGGAAAAGATGCATGCCTGCCTGGTGGACAAAGTAGAGCTACCAATTAGACAATGCGTGACTGTGTAGACCAAGATAAGAATAGAAACAAATTTTAGAAGCACAATGGCTTTTTCTTGATTCACATTGTATCTGCAGAGTCTTTTTTCATCTCACTCCACAACCTAAGCAGCACTATTGGCATAGCAACTCTGATAGCTTATTTCAGAATAAAACTCCAGATATGCTGAGCACAGAGACAGAAATAACCTAGCCACAAATCTGCCTCCATCTGGGGCTGCTTCTCAGCAAACAGCTCCCCAAGACAGGTAGCTTGTGGTTTTGTGTAAACACACTGAGCTAAGCTATTAAAGTCATTAGCATATATCAAGATGATATAGGCTTCCACATCATGAGCAGCACTGAACACTTCCCATGTCCTTTTGTATCACAGCAGAGACAGACACAACACTCCAAGGTTCAAGCAGGAACAGTGATCTTTATTGTTCACAGCTCATGTTTATATGGTGTTCAAAAGCAACTCATTCAATCCCAATTGGCTGATCACTTGGTGCCATCAGCTCACATTGCAGGCCAAGAGCTGCCTCCATATGTGCTCGCCAAAGATTGGCCAGCATGCATTCCTTGCAGTTAAGTCCTTCCACTTTTCATGGTTTTCTTCCTTAAAGAAGAAAAAGTCTTTAAGGAAGACTTCCTTTTCTCATGGGCACAGGCTGGTCAAGTCAAGGTCAAGGTTACTTGTGTCTGTGAGCCTTCAAGGCCAGCTGTTAACCACAGTTCCCCCTTTTTGTATTTCGACTACAAAGGCAGTCTTCACCATCCTCATCAAGTCAGGGTTACTTGTGTCTGTGAGCCTTCAAGCCAGCTGTTAACCATAGTTCCCCCTTTTTGTATTTCGACTACAAAGGCAGTCTTCACCATCCTCCCAGAGCCCTTTGCAGACAGGATAACAAACACAGCACAATGATCAAAATAGTTATGGTAACACAAAAAATTATAAGCCCACTTTGAATGAGGCTCTTTACCCAGCCTGAGAAACCTAACTCTTCCAGCCAGTGATCTCTCCCAGAAAATCCTCCACATCACACATTCCATCAAACTCTTCACAACTACGTCCATAAGCTAACAAAATCAACAGCATGCTGCATGTATACATCTGCAACCAAAGCACTCAAAATAAACGAAGTTTCATTTACTTTTTTTGCTACAAAGCAAGCCAATCTATTTAATCCAGAAACTATTTGGGGTAACATTTTGCTTTCCCGTTCCACTTCCGTCCCACATATCATGTTCCAGTGTGTAATTAAAAAATACACATCCTTCTGCTGATAATGTCCCTAAAATGTCTAACTCTTGGGGTTCAAGTGAAGCAACAGTAAATTGTCATACCAAATATCCCACAGCTCCCTACAGGGGGTTTTAGTATTACAATTGCTCTGGGAAGAGCATTGCATTTTAACAACATTTTGTGTTACTTGTATACTTTGTGTACCATTCAAGGGTGCCCCCTCTAAGCAGGTGTGAAAAGGTTGTTCTGGTTGTGCTCTAGACACACAAAATCACATCGGATTCAATGCACAGAGCAACTGATACCCCAACATTGTTACTGTTCCAGGGTCAGCTGAGGGGCCCTCGGGGAGGCCTTGCTGGTTGTGATCCAGAGCAGAGCCCAGAGCAGGGCACACACACTGGGCAGGCACCCATCGAATTCCTGCATCTGTAGAAACACAAGCATACCTGCACCCCAAGTGACATGGTCCCAAGGACCTTCCCACGGGTTGGTAATGAGATCCCATACCCATACCTTAGGCTTGGGCAACTGGATATCACTAGAGGACTGCAATGACAAAAAATTATTTAAAATAAGGGGGTTTTGGGATTTTGGCAATGTCATAAGGCAATTCACTGTATACAGAGCTTTGGCCACCCTACTCCGTGGGGTTTCACCAGACATTGTCCCTTTTTGTTTTTCAAGAATGCACTTCAAGTGCCATGGGCAAGATCACCAATGGCTTGGCCTGTAGGGGAATGAGGAATGCCCGTGAGATGCGACATGCCCCATAATTGCAGGAATTGATGAGTTTTCTGTGTGATATAGGCAGGGCCATTATCACTTTTAAAGGTGTGGCCAGTGCTGCAGCAGAGCAGGGCCCGGCCCAGCCCTACCAGGTCATGGGGGGCACGTGGGGAAGCACAGCCTGGCCCAGCCAGTGTCCAGTTACCTGTTCAAAAGCTGGAAGCAAGAGAGCTTCTCCTGGGTTTTGTTCATTTTAAAATGTGATGACACAGGGGTGTGTTCAGCTTCCTTAAGTGGTTTAACAAGGTGTCAATATTCAAAACTAGCTAGATGATGGGTTCTGATGGGCCCAGAGGAAGCTGTTAGCAGTCCTCACAGAGAATCACTTCCATAACTGATGGATTTTCTCTTTACTAAAAACTAAGTTATGTTAAACAACAACATTCTCCACCCCTCATCTCTGTGAATACACATTTAAAAATTATCAAAATTATATCCAACATACAACTTCTATTTAGAACAATAAAAATTACTAAACTAAACAGAAGGAAATAATTTCTTACTCTAACCTCCAACCCCTAGTCATTTCACTATAATTACAACATAAATTTTCCACTATCATTCTATTTAAACTTATGACTTACAAGAGTACAAACCATGTTTGGTCTTTGATCAGATATGATCTGAGTCCAGTATACTTCAGGTTCCCCCGTCGAGCCAAAGCCTCTGTTTTCTCGCAGCTTTGAGTCTGTTTTAGGAACACAAGACTTAAAAGGTACAAGTTGAACAATAAGACTTTTAGCTGGAAGGGGTACAGGAGGAGGAGGTGTTGATACCATAGCACATATTTGTCCAGTATAGTCTACATCTATAACTCCAGGGTGGACAAAAAAACCCTGTAACATTGCTCTTGATCATCCTAATAGTAATGTACTTAATCCTTCCCCAGCAGACCCATGGGCCTCGAGGGGGATTTTATAAATCTTTAATGAGTCTCTAAGTTATAATGCCAGCGATAGACACATCCATGCCAGCTGATCCTCCTGCTGTCCCTGTGAGCTGGTTCCATAGGCCTGCACTGAAGGACGAGAAGGTACTCGTGTCTGCAAGCACTTCCCCTTGGCGCTCCTGTTCCAGTTTCCCTGTCCACTGAGAGGTTGTCCGTTAGCGTGGAATTTAGACTTGCATTGCTTGGCGAAATGACCGGGTTTTCCACACCGGTAACAGCTTCCCACTACAGGCCCAGCTCTCTGTTTCTGACGTGTCCCCCATGAGTTGTACCTATGGGGACAATTTGCTTTCTTGTGACCTAGTTGCCCACATCCATAGCACTGGTGCGACCTTAGAGCAGCTGCCAAGGAATCAGCTAACAGAGACATTTCATAAGATAGAGTTCCAACTTCAGCACACGCATTAATCATTTCATCTAAGGATGGATTTTTTCTTGGTAATAAGTCTATAGCTTTCTTGCAATCTTCATTTGCATTGTCTCGTGCCAATGACAACATCAACAGATTTTTTGCATCGTCATTTGCTATTTGCTTTTCCATGGCATCTTTTAATCGTTCTATAAATTCCACATAAGGCTCTTTGGGGCCCTGCTTAATTTTTGCAAAACTCTGAGTTGGAGTTGCCAATGCCATGTTACCAACTTTCATCAGGGCCTGCATTCCTAAATCTCTTGCCTGTGCCAATATCAAAGGATTTAGGCGTGCTTGCACCTGTGGGTTATTTATGGGAGGCAATCCCAGAAGTTCAGGGACCCCTGCCCCAAAGCATGGATCTTGCTGCGGCACCACTAAATTATGCAGCCCTTGCTTTTCTGCATGTTGCTTCCAGGTGGACTCAAACACCATGTATTCAATCGGGGTACAGAGCAACCCTGCTATTTGCTTGATATCAAAGGGTGTCATTTCAGCTTCAGCTAGAAGCCGTAACATCCTTGTTACGACCGGAGACCCCAGTCCATGTTGGGTGGCTAGTTGGCATAACTGGGAGAGAATTTTAAAGGTGACATGAATATAGGGCTCAGTCCAATCGTCTTCCAGTTCTTGGTCACCCAAGGACAGCGGGAACTTAGGTACAGAAATTCGTTCAGCAACTTTGTAATCTCCACTAGCAAGTGCCATTAATTGCATACGTTCCCAAAAGCGAACTGGATTGTATGCTGAGATAGTAGTGCCAGTCGTCCCACACACAAGCTCTTGGCCACCCAAGAACAGCCGGGATAGTGGTGCAGAAAGTCGTTCAGCAACTTCAAGATCCCCACTAGCAAGAAAGTTTAATTTAACATAGTGCCAAAATCTAACCCGATTGCATCCGGAGACAGTAGCTGGTACTGGTCGCATGGGAAAAGCATCCTCCTGAGGGCCAGCAGGGGTGTGACAACTTGGGCCTCCCCTGTTAGGATCCCACAAATCTACTAATGGAGGGGGTTCCTTAGGCCTCTCAGGCTTTGGCTGTGGACATGATGGGATGTGGTGTCCCTCCACTCCAGGTGCTGGCAGCTCCCTGCCGGAACTCTCAGCGCCGAGTGCCGCTTGGCTCCCGGCTCCTATTTCCATGCCGAGGTTGTGATTAGGCCTATCAAGCACTGGCAGGGCTGTTGACAGGAGTTTATCATCACTCCAGCCATCTGTAGGCAGAGGAGGAGAGGATGGGTTTGTGGTAACTGGAGGTGTAGGACATGGGGGTGTAGGGGCACACAGCGTGGGCGGAGTCGCAGGGATATGAGGCATGGATGACAGCTGCTTCCCTTCTAGGTTTTCCCCCGTCCTTTCCAGCTGCAAACTCGATGTGGCTTCTACTCCCCCAGCTGCTCCCTCTTGAGCTCCACTATCACTGGGAGTCTTGGCAGGTGGTGCCTGCGGTGCCTCAGCTGCTGTTTTTGCATGTTGCTCAGGTTTCAGCAGTTTCAAGGTATCCAGCACGAGCCTCCAGGTAGTCATAATATTTTTAGCAGTCTCATCTCCTCGAGAAGCTGATTCAAAAATCAATTCACCAGCCTGTTCCCAGTTTTTCACAATAAATGCAGCTCTTACGCTGGCATCTACCCCATGGTTCCGACACCACTGCAATAAAGTGCACAGAGCCTTTTTATTGCATTTTATCCCTTGCAGGTGCAACATAAGGGTCCATGCATTCACTATAGCTTTTTCTTCTGCTGCCACGTTAGCTTTTTTTTTGGTTGACAGTTGAGATCCCATTGTCCCCAGTGGCTCACCTTCTTAATTTTGAGCCTCAACCTTTGCAGTGCTCCACACTTCACACACCCACCGGTGTCTCCTGATTCAGAGGTGCACTCTTGGATTCTGGGCTATCTTCCTTCAGCTCACCCTGACAGAAAGCAGGAGCTGGCACTCTCTGAGCTACCACCCCGTGAAAGGGCGTCGAGGCCAGCTGGGCAGCCCTGTTAAAGTCACACGTGTCCTCTGGGTTGGCACAAAGGGTCTTGTTCTTGTAGGAGCCGCTCACAATTGCATCCTCACTCAAACGTTCAATTCCATTCAGCTCATCCTGGAACAAAACAGAAAAGACAGTGAAAGCCTGCACATCTTATGACCATTCTTTCTTTCTTTAAAAGCTGACCATTTCTCATCCCTTTCTGCCACTCCACCACCTTCCAACATGAATAGGACATTCAGCCTCCATGAATTCTACTTATCACAGAATCCAAGAAAGCTCTGGGTCACACCTCAAAGACCATCAACTTCCACCCCTTGCCATGGGCAGGGACACCTTCCACAAGGGCAGCTTGCTCCAAGCCCCATCCAGCCTGGCCTGGAACACTTCCTGGGACAAGGCAGCCACAGCCACAATGTCATATTTCCAGTATCATCTCATCATCACCCCATTCAGTTACTGCCATGCCAGGCAGCACTTTAGAATCCTTGTTTGTCACACGTGAGGCCAGTCCAGCCAAGCTGGCTCAGTCTGACAGCAGCACAGGCTGCCTTGGTGTCTCCTGGGCAGGAAATCTGCCATGCCTGAAGTGGTTCCTTACACAGGCTCCTGCTGCTGCTGCGCTTTCCTTGGCACTCAGAGAATCCACAGGATTATGAACAGCAAGAGGCTGACAGGCACTTTTTCTGGCTACAATCTGCTGAACTACCAAGAGGAGAGCAAGTTACAGTCAGTTACATATTTATTACAGCAGCTTCCCATCTCCAACAAATTCCTCTCTGGAGTTTAAGCCTATTGATCGTTCCAATCAACCAATTTCTACAGCAGAACTAGCAGTAAGCAACAGAACAGTAGTATACTACAGCTCTCCAGAATAAAAGAGAGCAGCTTAAATAGTTCTAGGTTGAAGATGAAGAACAGAAGAATATTTCCTCATCATGCACTCTGAGGAATTAAATAAAAAAATACCAATATAAACACAACAAAACACAAAACACCCCATCCATGCATTTAACAGTTATTTCAGCTGCTACAGCAACAGATTTGATGCTTCTGTTTTCATGCCCTCTGAAATCTGGGCCTTGAATAATTCTACCTTATATTCTGATTTCTCAAAGTAGAGGATTCTGTTATAGGTAATAAATGATAAAGCCAAATTAATAATTAATGAAATAGGTTTTATTTTGTGACCGAGATTCAGTCTCCAATAGCCACAATCAAAGGAACAGCATTGAGCCTGGAATTGGCACTGGTGAACTCTGATCCGAACTCTACCACTTTGGATCCCCTCTGTTCATGAAGGCTCTTCCTGTCCAGGTAGTTTTTATACAGCTTTTTCTGCCTGGGGAAGAGTCTTTCATTCCATGGCTTCACATATTCATGTAGTCTCCTTTCTCTGTGCTGGGCTGGATAAAACCATTTCTGGTAAGCGATGAATGCTGATCATCCATTCACCGAGTTACGGGAACCTGGCACTGGGATGCACACCCACGACTCTGGCTATCGCTATTTATTATAAATATTATTCATAATAAATATTATAAATAATATTTATTCTTCTGTCCACCATCAGCCTCCAGACTTGGAGTTTGGCTTTTTTCTCAGTTTTCCCATCAGAGACCATTGCAGCACCATAAAAACCCCTTTACAGTGTTATGATTCAAGTTCTGTATGTCTAATTAATAAACAACAAAATTTAGCAGCAATTTTAATTGAACAGCAATTTTATATCAATGAATACAATCAAGTATACTAAATATAATCAAGCATATAAAAAATGTGGCAGTGATTAATTATGTATGATTAAGGTTTATATAAAGCATAAGCAAAACTGACCAGGGTACAGGGCAGGCTTCTCCCCCTGACTCATGTACAAAACAAAGTAATGCAAACGAAACTTATATACTGTATGCATTCATCAGTATTTTTCCATAAATCTCCTCCTATTTTTGATTCTTGAAATCTGTGTCACTGTACTGCATAGCACATGCCCCACTTGTTGTCAGGGGGTCTCCTGGCTTTTTGGTGGTCTTTTCAGAGGAAGGCTCACAGTCTTCCTCGCTGTCCTCTGAATAACCTTCACAGGTTGCACATGCACACTAAGCTTTGTGTTATGTAAGTAAGTGTATGTTCCAAATAAGCTTTATTATCTCACAGATAAAACCACAACTTGCATTCCTTACCTGGAATCATCCCAACTTGGTTCAGCCCAAGGCCAATTCTGTTTTGGAATCTTGCTCATCTCAATACTACATCCTGTATCCTGTTTTTCCACATGTAACAAAGGACTGCGTTCATACCAAGGCCAATTTTGGGATCTTGCTTTCCTCAATCCTACATATTTTATTACTTTGTAACTGTAGCAATATTTTAAAAAATAATTGTTATAATTTAGTTAGCACAAATCATTATCACACACAGTTCTCGTTTTACAGCCAGAATTGTCCCAATTCTATGATAACATTCATTCTCCTCTCCACCATCAGCCTCCAGACTTGGAGTTTGGGTTTTTTCCTCAATTTTCCCATCGGAGGCCATTGCAGCACCACAAAAATCCCTTAACAGTTTCTGAGGTCTGGCAGTGAGTGAGGGACGGGGCACTGCTTGGTGCAAGCAAGAAGCCAATGTATTGTTTCTACAGCTCACTTTGTGTATTCTTACAGCTTCGGGTAGAATTTTCCACTGCCAAAGCGATAACCACAATATTTATGTTTCCTGGTAACGTTGCTTAACCACAGTCTTGCATGATTTGCTTTAGACAAAGCACAACATTTTTTCTGGTTTCTCTTTTATATTTCTGTTTACTGTTCCCAGGGCTTTGGGCCCACCAGGTGCAAGATGCCCAGAGCATTCATCGACTGTAGGACTTTTTGTTCTACTGCTCAGCTGTCCCTGCAGAGAGGTCCATTAGTAAAGAGAAGAGGTGGAATTCAGGCTGACAACACACTACTCTCATCTGCCTATTTTAATTGCCTGAAACTCTTCAGCACAAAAAAATTACACAGAAGGAATACTCACTCCTGTTTTTCCATGATTTCCCAAACTGTTTCCTGAGGCATCCTGCTATAAAGGACCCAGGGCTGAAGAAGGGGGTGTGCACTGGCTTTGCCAGGCACTTGTATCTTTTGCTTTATGTTTAATTTCTCAAACTCATATATGTTATGGAATAATTAGTGTCTGGGTAAAATATACATGGAACAATTAGTGGCTATGTAAAATACACATGAAATAAGTTGTGCCTGTACAAAAATTCTTAAAGATGTCAAAACCACAAGCCACAGCAGGGGAAAGAGACTGCCTCACCAACTGTGAAATGACAGCAGCAAAGAAGAGAACCTAATTGGCAAACGAAAAGACATGAGTGTGGAGATGGGCCCTTTCCTGGGACAGTCCAGAGACATCCAAGTATACCTGACAAGTATCCATGATCAAGATAGTCAGTGTCTTCAAGGATGTGCATGCCAGTACCAGATTCCCTTAACTCCATCAGCATTCACCACTTCCCAGAACAGGCTTTGTCCAGCCCAGCACAGAGAAAAGGAAACTACATGGATATGTACAGCAAGGAGAACAGAAGAAACTCTGCCCCAGGCAAAATCAACAGTATAAAGCCCGCCCGACAGAGACAGTATTTGGTAACAGGGGGGATTCCAAGTGGTAGAGTTCGAATCTGCGTTCATCCAGTGGCAATCCCAGGCTCAATGCTGACCCTTTGATTGTGGCTATCACAGATCTAAACTTGGTCATGAAATAAAAATATTTTTATTGATTTGGCTTTATCATTAATTATCTATCACACCTGGAAGGGTGCTGGGGCCCTGGCTCAGGTTGCCCACAGAAGCTGTTGCTGATCCATCCTTGGAGTGCCAAGGCCAGGTTGCACGGGGCTTGGAACAACCTGGGCTAGTGGAAGGTGAAACTGGATATCTATAAGGTCCCCTCCAGCCCAAACAATTTCACGATTCTATCATTTAACTGTATTTGCAAGAGACACAAACCACAGGCAAAGGAGAAAGACACAACCTCCTCTTCGAGGCTTAGAAGTCATCAATTTACACACACCTTCCTCTCTTTTGGCCATCCATTTTCACACTTTACCCTGATAGATTTCCAAGATCCTGCACTGTGTTCTTTCTGCAGGCTGGACATCTCCTGCCCCTGCCTGAGGAGCTGCACATTCTCCCTGGTCAGGAGGAAGTGGCTGTCTCCTGGGACATGACCACCTCTCCTTTAATCCTGTATTTAAAACAAAATGGACACCTGTACAGCTGGGTACTGACCTGAAACCTCACAGAGACAGCTTTCCTAAGCCCATTCACCCTGAATTTTCTGTGCAGCCAAAACACACCGCTAAGATACCCAACTTTTAGAGGGACTTGGAGGCTTTTCCGCCCTATCAGAAATCTATTAAAAAAGAGCTCATCTTTTTTAATAGATTTCTGATCTATTTTAATAGATTCAGTGAAGAACTGCAAGCAGGCAACATTAGCAACAAAAAACACTAAGATTAAGCCATCTCCCTCCCCGCTGATTGCTCCTTTCCCTGCCCCGACAGCCCCACGCCGCGCTCCTCACACGGTTGCTCCACGGCTGCGCTCCGGCCGGGGGAGCCTCAGCCAGGCTCAGCCGGGCCCCTCTGGCTCTTCACCACTTCCACGAGCGGTTGCAGCAGGCGGGGGCACAGCCGAGCCTCCAGCCCAGCCGGGGGGCGGCGGCCCAGAGCGGCGGGGACTCCCGGCTGGCACCGACGGCACAAGAGGCTCTTGCTCCCCGGGACGCATCGCCCCACGCCGGGCCGGGCACCCCGCGCTCTGCGGGCAGCCCCAGCGCCGTGCCGGGCACCAAAAGGCGTCTCGGAGCGCCAGAGCCGCGAGCGCCAAGCACCTCATACCCTAAAGGCCCGCACGGATCCCACACAGACACCGCCCCTCCGCACCTCACAGCCCCTCAGGCCGCCTCCGCCCTCAGCCCCTCACAGACCCCCAGAGACACCCACAGCCCCACACACCCCACAGCCCCTCCTCACGGCTCTCCCTGTGCCCCTCAGCCCCGCGCACCTCACAACTGAGAGCCCCTGAGCAATGCCACAGCCATGCCACAGATCCCCACGGCCCCTCAAGCCCTACGCACATCGCGGCTCCCCGAGCGCTCCTCAAGGGCACGGCAGCCATCAGTGCCGCGAACTTCGCAGCCCCCCACAGACTCCACTGATACCCGAGGGCCCCTCACAGACTCCACAGCCCCTCAGCCGCGACCCCACAGGCGCGCAACCCTCACGGATCCCACAAACCTCCGCCCCGTGCACCTCAGAGCCCCGGACACTGCCTCAGTCCTCCATGGACGCCACAGCCCTCAGTCCCGCACACCTCGAGCCCCACAGCCCCTCAGTCCTCACCCCCTCCCGGTCCCCACAGCTCCTGAGGCCGCCTTAGCCCAGACCGCCGCAGGCTCCGCCAGCCCGTCCCGGACCTGCCTCCCCGCCGGCCGGACGTACCGCACACAGCTGCCGAGTCGACGCTGCACCTTTTCACCAGCAAAATGGCCAAGTCTTCCCGCCGCCTTAATATTCAAGCCTCTCCCGCCTCCCCATTGGCCACGGCCCTAACCCCGCCCCACATGAGTGGAGCCGTCCTGCGTTGCCCCGGGGCATCACGGGAAATGTAGTTTCCGCCTCACCAGCGCCAGCCGGCGGGGAATAATAATTTAAAAATTAATGCGCTCGCGGTTAGTCCCATCTGAAAGGTATACTCCTGTTCCTGCTCGCGTGTGTTCTCGCCCTTTCCCTCTGCTAACCGCTAGCACTTGCTGATTCATCTGTCATTTATCCTGAAGCCCTCACTTAATGCAACTGGCGATGAGTTCTGCTTTGGTGTCACAAAAGAACCTCACTTTTTGGGTGAAAAATACATAGTTTGCCACTCGCAAAAGTGGCTCCCAGAAGTGTACAGCTGTGTTAATGTGATACTTAGACCCATTCATTACTTTCTCTCCTACAGCATTCCAATAAACAACTAATTAATCCGAC